GCTTGCCAGGTATAAATGAAAGAGTTTTTTGCATCGTATAGTATATATGGTGATGAAAAATGGATCCACTACGATAACCCAAAGAAGAGGAAATTATGGGGATCACCTGACCATGTTTCAACATTGACAGCCAAGCCGAATATTCATGGAAAAAAACTTATATTGTATTTGGTGGGATCAGCTTGGTGTCGTATATTATGAGTTGCTCAAATCGAACAAGACTATTACTGGGGCTCTCTATCGAACATAATTGACGAGCACTCAAGGAAAAATGCGCCCACTACTCCAGACATGACAAAATTATTCTCCTGCATGATAATGCTCGACCACATGTTGCAGTGCCGGTCAAAACCTACTTAGAAACACTCAAATGGGAAGTTCTACCCCACCCCCGTATTCTCCAGACATTGATCCTTCCGACTACCACTTGTTCCGATCGATGACGCATGGCCTGTCTGAGCAGCACTTCACATCATATGAAGATATAGATAAAAATTGTATCGATGATTGGATATCCTCAAAAGATGAAGTGTTCTTCCGACGCGATATCCACATGCTACCAGAAAGATGGGAAAAAGTAGTGGCTAGCGATGGCCATTACTTTAAATAAAATATTATGTACCGTTCTTTCACAATAAATGCTTAATTTTTGATTAAAAACGGCGGAAACTTATTTGTACTCCCAATAAAAATTAGTTTGGCATAATTCGGCATAGAAACGCGTAGTTCAGGAAATAATGATTATTAATTGCGCGTACATTGGCGTACTTTCTATGCCTAATTAAGTCCAAATTATTTTACCTTTTGCATATCTTGGCATAGTTATTTCTATGTTTAACAACGTGATTCTACGCTACAGTCAGTAGAAGAAGAAAGACATTCTTAGCGTACTTTAGCATAGAAATTTTTCCACCAGGGATGATATCGAAGATTTGCAATAATATAGCTATAGTAAAATGGTACAATACAAGAAGTCATTATGCTTAAAAGATTATTTCATAATATCATTACTGTGATGAGTAAATGATACAAAACATATAGTATATAAATTAAAAAATTATTTTAATATTAAATACGTTTAGAAATCATACGTTCAAAATAAAGAAGATATTGTTTAATTGGATGAAGATATATTGGAAAGTAATATAATATATAGTATTAATAAGAAAATAATTAAATAATTCAATTATAATTTAATTATTGACTATCTCCTTCTGTTTTGACTCTCGTTAGCCTTGAATTTATTTTTATTTTATATTAGGTGTAGTAAAAAGAAATCTATTATTTTTGCATTCAATTTCAAAAATAAGGGATTTCTTTTTACTACACCTAATATTACTTTCCAATAATAAATTATGTAAACGACAATAAGATATTAAAACATAAGACCGAAAATAACTTTAAGAGAATAATATTAAGATAATAATGATACAAGGAATAAGTCTATATTCAGAACGTCCTTACAACAATGTTACGCGCTATAGTTTATATTACGCATACTATAGAATTTCAGAGACAACAGCGCGTTCTGAATATGGATTATATGTATGATAAATAACAGAGATAAATGAAAAACAAAGATTTTACTCATTTTAAGGAGAAATAATAAAATTATCATAACTCTTATTGTTAATGTTATTTATAATATAATCCATAATATCAATCATCATTTATTCTAGTAATATCTAGAAATATCAATTTCTTTATTCATTGATTTATCTTATTGTTTTGGCAATAATTATTTATACACGGGAGCACAAATAGCGTATATACAGAAGTTTATAATTAATTAAAAATGGTATATATGTTTCTAGATAACATTTAATGTGATTTCATATAACTCTCATACGTGAGTATCAGGTTGTGCAAGAACGCCATCACATCACTCTCATGATACGATGGTCTAACGCGTACGAGCGTAATAATAGTAATGCAATGATTATGCAGTTTGATCAAGCAATGATCGAGCATTTTGTTATCTGGGTAATGTCAGTAGTACTGTCAAGTTTTATATTATAACTCGAAAAATGTTTAATAAAAAAATACTTTATTATATTGTTCTGAAAACGTCTCGACTTTAGCTATAAGAATAACAAAAGAAATGCAATAAAAAATAGTGATCCCTATTTAAAAAATTCATGTTGAACTTGACTTGATCGTGGTAAAAAAAATATATATATAAAATCCGTTATTTCTTCTTTTTTTTTCTCCTAGGAAATCTACAACTTTTGTATTATTTTATATAAAACTTTTTTCTGTATAAACGCAGTGACCAACATATGTGGATTAGAATATTATTCATAAAAATTATATGGTATTGCTGATGACAATTTTGATTCAAAGTAAACTAAAACGTCCAAGAAATTTATTATCAAAAAGTAATGTAAAATTATATTGAATATATTTATGTATTGCGCCGTATATCGCATTCTCATTGCTCTAATTAATATTTTTTATTGTTTTTCCTGTGTGCTTCTTAATTTTTGAGATATTCATCTGGGGCGATTAAAATGCCCCTGTATAGTATACATACAGTGGCATCAAATTTTGGCACCACCCATCCTGAGCAAGTAGAGCGAACTAAACTGAATCGAAAAATCTTTTACCATTTTGCAGTTTGCACAATAGTTAACGAGATATTAACATTAATTCAAATTGAAATATTTAAGCATTAAAGATCTAGTTTCGATTGCTATTTCTATTTTTTATTGTCGAATTTTCAAATGCACGGTCCAGTATAACAATAAGATTTTCAAATTTTTGTTTAAAAAATTGTTGTCTTTTATACTTTCAACGATATTCAGATTAAAAGAAAAATATCGTTTTTTTTTTTTTTCAAAAGAGTTATTTCACTTAACATAAGTTAATGCATATATAAAAAAAATATCGTATCTCTCGATTTTTGTGTTTAACATTTCATGTTCCGGACAGTTGTAAAATGTCTCTTGTTAGTATAATTGAAGCTCTGATTTTTTTCTTCTATCATTTCAAGTTTTTTTTCCTAAAATAACTAAATTTTCTACCTTCTAAACTAGTCTCCCTGTATTTATTAGGTAACACATTGATAAATTAGTATGCTAAATTAATCTAAATAGAATGGCATAATGTAATCAACTTTGATAATAAAAATATGTATATTTTGTTATATTTATATTTATATTATATTGTTATATATGTATATTTTGTTAAATCATGTTATAATATTGTATATTTCATTATATTTGACTAATCATTTAAAAAATATATACATATATTTTTTATAAAAATGTGCGAATAGTTTAAGACCTTAAACGTTTTTTTCCGTTGT